TATATGTTTTTTACTTCTAATACATAGTGAAAGCAAGAATGTATTACTTTCACTTTAATGTACTGTTCAAAACCGTTTATTCACAAGATACGATATTCTTTTTGACTGCTCTTTGCAACGACTTCAAAACGATGGAAATCTAGATTTGTCCTGCGGACAACCCCGAACAACTTACAACTGAACTGATAAAATCAAATGACAGACTAAATGTTGCTAAGTGATATATCTAATACGTTTTTAATTCAAATTGTTGACCTCTTAGGCCAAAAAAAATTTAATTTAAGCTTAAATCTTTTATTTTTAAAAAAATATGCCTATAAAATAATAAAAGTCGCCTTTTTTTATTGGTATTTAAACAAAGTTTCTTCTTGTTCTAATTTGAAATATTTACCCAAACAAGACTGTCTAGTGCTAGAATTCAGTTTCGTAAGCATACTATTCGTACTTCTGATGCCTAGACCGATGCATTCCGATAAGATCACAGATACCACATTTGTAAACGAATAGTCTTTTTATCACATAAAAGGGCAAGTAGAATCTAACATTTACTAACGATATTCGTACATCTATACATTTGAGCTTCCGGTCATGTGATAACACAGGCAACCCAAAACGTGACATGATAGATTGGCTAAAAGGTAAAACCTTAAGTCGACCTAGCCTTCGGCTAGTCCGACTAATAAACTGATTGTGCAATGTCTAATCCAATTGGTTGAAACATGACGTCATTCACATAATTGTGGCAATTTCTCCAGATTTATAAAGTTCAGAGGTTGACATCCCTGTAATTTGATAAGGAAAATGATGTGAAACAACTAATTAGGTTTTACAGTAATTTACTGAAATTGCAGACTATGGGGGGAGGGGATGTAAGGTTTTTACTAATTTTAATAGGGGGAGAGTCAAAATGTTTTTGAGGGGGGCAACAAGTTTTCACTAACAGTTTATCCCAATCACCATCCCCCCTCACCGTAAATAATGAACAGTCCCTTATCCCAATCACCATCCCCCCTCACCGTAAATATGAACTGCAGTCCCTAATGATTGCCAGCTTTCACGTCCGAGCAGTGTTAAAATTGCAAAAATTGCCAAGGTACCTAAATCATCTTGAAGAGCACATCAAAATTGATAGTTTGGCTTAGCTCAAATGACTATCTAAGAACTTATAATGAATCTGTTCAAAAATATTAAAATTTACAAAGGAATGTAAAGATTTTGGGAAAGCATTCCCCACCTATGTACAAGAAAAAGAGAGTTTTTGAAATGGCTATAATTTTTGAAATATTGACTCGATTTCCATCAAACTTTGCTTTTTAATTGATTTAGATTTGCTCTTTCAGATAATGTAGGTCACTCTCCGATTTGTGCAATTTGAACCTTGCAACTTGTACCCATTTTCCCGCTCGGACGGGACGGTTGATTGCCTTACTAGGTTTATTAGTGTTGATCAGATTTTGTGGATTCAGAGAAAATGAAATTTTTGGTCGTGATCCTTTTGTTTTTGCTAAAGCGTRAAGGTCTATAGATTTCAGTAATATTGCCGCAGTGAACTGGAAAAAGTCGTGAAAGCTAACTTATATAAGACTTACTTTAAAAGCTTGCTTTTGTAGATGGCGAAAATGAAGAGTCAACTAAATTATATATCAAACTTATACAATGCGTTACCTTGAGATATTTTCTGCAGCTCCTGTATGCAGAAGGGAGAGTGAACAGCACTAGAAAGACAAAGATAATTCTTATAATTTGTTCGAGCTCATGTGACTTGCCATTTGACCGTAAAATTTAGACAGGCATTCCTCGCGATTTAGTAGGTCTCAGTTTGCTCTCTACTAGGTAGAGGAGGCAAATATTCTTTCTAAATAAAGGACCTACAAATGAAATATCATATTAAAAAGTAAAAAAAAAAGTTTTCTTCATTTGCAAGAGCTTCGTGAATACCCGATAAATATCAATYCRGTGATGTTTTTATTGYGATGGTCAATTTAGCCAATCAAGACCTCTCTTATATCGGATGTGTATTAGTATCACACTTGCGATTGGCTAGTAGACGATTGCGTTGGTGGGTAACCATTTGTTTTAACAGTGGGCCAGGCATGTGATTGAACTGAGTTTCACTGCCTTCAAACTGCGTAATTTGAACGACTTTAATCTCTTTTGTCTCTTTGATTCGTGTTTTTTTGGAGTTGTGATAAAATGCATGAAATGAGTACACCAATGCCGGGGATGGACCACATGAAAAATGGTTCAAACCAGATGGATCACATGAGTATGATGGTAAGCGTTATTTGAAATATTTTGTTTTCCAAATAAGCTTAAGTTATGTAAGAAAAGAAATTCAGCTGGACCGACCAGTCCCAGTGTAGAATCAAAAGATCAACTTCTATTCACGTTAATAATTAAAGTTACAAGCTCAAATACCTTATTTTTAATCAATGATTACAGTAAGACTAAACTTACTCTTAATGAGAAGCTTAATAAGCTTAGTTAAATCTTCGATACTAATAGGACCCCGATACTAGTRGGTCATGCTGTAAAAATAGACTTTGTTCGTTTCAGTATCGTCTGTTTGATTTGCCGCTGCTTATGACCCATTAAGTAAACAAAAATCATACTTCGACCTTTATAAAKTTACAGGCGCTCTAGCAATAGAATGTATGGTCTCCTCGTAGACTCCTCGTACGTATGAAACTATCGTTCGAAAGCAAATTATTTTCATATCTGAATAAGTTCCTTTGCTCATAGGTAACTATCTATATATTTGTAAGTACACCATTTTAAAATGCATAAAGATCATTCGAAGATCAATGCCTTCAACTGATTACCCCTTTCAAGAAGTCTTGAAATTATGATTACAAAATTTGGTAAGCTTAAATAGCTCCTTTTGTCCATRCGCTTCAAGGATATTTCAACGAATACGAAAAAAAAGTATTTTTGTGATGTCACACTTGAGTACTCTATTCTGTATTATTAATTATTGATTCAGCAATAAACCATAAGGGCCTCTAGAGGTCCGTTTAGGTTTGTGTTCTATTAAAAGGCTATATTAATATCCAATATTAGAAAATGTGAAAAACATTAAAAAACATGACAAATTGGCCACTTGCCTTATAGATATAAATTTGATTTTATAATCAGAACATATTTATATAATATATACACCTACTTGCGAAAACGTTGTCATAAAAAATAGGACATTTGTATTTTAGTAAAAAGGAATAAATTAAAAAGACAAAAGAAGATCACTGAGGCTGAACGCTTTCTTTTGTCTTGTTTTAATTAATTCCTTTTTACTAAATTCGAATGTTCTATTTTCTATGACAACGTTTCTGCAAGTAGGTGTATGTATAAGTAGAATGAAATTGAACAAAACACCAACTTAAAGCTTTTAATATCTCTGTTTTAATGGACGTTTCGGCACTTCGGCCTTCTTCAGAAATACAAATTAAATCTTCTAGTGTTCCATTGATATCTCACTTGTTAAAATCTATATTGCAAACATTTGCAAAGAAAAGACATTATTTTATATTTTGCACATCTCCTAAAATGCATCCTTTGTTTTATTGTATTTACTTTCATCTACTACAGGGATACTCTTTTGAATGTGAATCTGTAGTTGTTTATATAGCTGGCCAGTTTAAGCTTTACTTTTTAAGTGACTGCACTAAAGAGTGAATATAAATTTCCATTCAGAGTTGTTTCCATGGAAACATCTTAAGTGAGCTACAGTGTAAACTTTGGTTGCCTTAGCAAATGACTGGGAAACCATTTTTCTGCTTGTAAATATATTTGATATTACCTGTACATGTATATTAAATAATGAACAACGTTATATGCCTAATTGCAAAAAACATAGTTCATAAAGAAGAAAAAACATTTTTAGAGGAAAAAGCAAATTAGCATTTTGTTACACAGCACTTTGAAAGCTAAAAACCCTGACCAAGAGATTTTTAAGTGCACCAAATCAGCACTGAATATTRAAAGAATGTGATGCAATAAGCTTTCTTAAAAAATGAGATTTTCATGCACAATAGTTTTTGTGCATACAGTTTTAAAAACTCCAATTTTTAGAGGGAATTTGTACGTAGGCTCATTTTACCACTTTACCGCACGACACCTTCTAAACCCTATGATAACAAGAATACATGAAAAATAGAATACATATGATAAATAGAAAACATATGATAAATAGAATACATGATAAATAGAATACATATGATAAATAGAAAACATATGATAAATAGAATACATGATAAATAGAATACATATGATAAATAGAAAACATGATAAATAGAAACATGATAAATAGAATACATGATAAATAGAATAGATAAAAAATAGAATACATATGATAAATAGAATACATGATAAATAGAATAGATAAAAAATAGAATACATGAAAAATAGAAAACATGTATGATAAATAGAATACATGATAAATAGAATACATGATAAATAGAATACATGATAAATAGAATACATGATAAATAGACAAAAGAAGATCACTCAGTAAGCTGAATGGTTTTGCAATAAAATGTAAAAAAAAAATTCATTCAACGTTTGTTTTAGGCCTCACTTTAACAGTAGGGGCTGATGTTTGTTCATTGAGATACAGTATATCACAAGTGGTCATATTTCTCAAGTGCTCAATGAAAGTATATCTTATATTTATAAAACTTATTAATAATGCATAAGCTATTGCTCCAATAAGGGCTGACCATTTAATCAGGTGATTGACCTTGTAAATCTGATACAACCACTAGTGTTGTATCAGATTTACAACACGGTCGTCACCATTGAGACAACCCAACACTAGCAAAGGTCTCAGTTTTAGTGTCGCATCATAGACCTTCACTAGGTTTTGAAGCAATTTACTGAAATTGCAGACTATGGGGGGAGGGGATGTAAGGTTTTTACTAATTTTAATAGGGGGAGAGTCAAAATGTTTTTGAGGGGGGCAACAAGTTTTCACTAACAGTTTATACCAATCACCATCCCCCCTCACCGTAAATAATGAACAGTCCCTTATCCCAATCACCATCCCCCCTCACCGTAAATATGAACTGCAGTCCCTAATGATTGCCAGCTTTCACGTCCGAGCAGTGTTAAAATTGCAAAAATTGCCAAGGTACCTAAATCATCTTGAAGAGCACATCAAAATTGATAGTTTGGCTTAGCTCAAATGACTATCTAAGAACTTATAATGAATCTGTTCAAAAATATTAAAATTTACAAAGGAATGTAAAGATTTTGGGAAAGCATTCCCCACCTATGTACAAGAAAAAGAGAGTTTTTGAAATGGCTATAATTTTTGAAATATTGACTCGATTTCCATCAAACTTTGCTTTTTAATTGATTTAGATTTGCTCTTTCAGATAATGTAGGTCACTCTCCGATTTGTGCAATTTGAACCTTGCAACTTGTACCCATTTTCCCGCTCGGACGGGACGGTTGATTGCCTTACTAGGTTTATTAGTGTTGATCAGATTTTGTGGATTCAGAGAAAATGAAATTTTTGGTCGTGATCCTTTTGTTTTTGCTAAAGCGTRAAGGTCTATAGATTTCAGTAATATTGCCGCAGTGAACTGGAAAAAGTCGTGAAAGCTAACTTATATAAGACTTACTTTAAAAGCTTGCTTTTGTAGATGGCGAAAATGAAGAGTCAACTAAATTATATATCAAACTTATACAATGCGTTACCTTGAGATATTTTCTGCAGCTCCTGTATGCAGAAGGGAGAGTGAACAGCACTAGAAAGACAAAGATAATTCTTATAATTTGTTCGAGCTCATGTGACTTGCCATTTGACCGTAAAATTTAGACAGGCATTCCTCGCGATTTAGTAGGTCTCAGTTTGCTCTCTACTAGGTAGAGGAGGCAAATATTCTTTCTAAATAAAGGACCTACAAATGAAATATCATATTAAAAAGTAAAAAAAAAAGTTTTCTTCATTTGCAAGAGCTTCGTGAATACCCGATAAATATCAATYCRGTGATGTTTTTATTGYGATGGTCAATTTAGCCAATCAAGACCTCTCTTATATCGGATGTGTATTAGTATCACACTTGCGATTGGCTAGTAGACGATTGCGTTGGTGGGTAACCATTTGTTTTAACAGTGGGCTACCAGGCATGTGATTGAACTGAGTTTCACTGCCTTCAAACTGCGTAATTTGAACGGCTTTAATCTCTTTTGTCTGTTTGATTCGTGTTTTTTTGGAGTTGTGATAAAATGCATGAAATGAGTACAACAATGCCGGGGATGGACCACATGAAAAATGGTTCAAACCAGATGGATCACATGAGTATGATGGTAAGCGTTATTTGAAATATTTTGTTTTCCAAATAAGCTTAAGTTATGTAAGAAAAGAAATTCAGCTGGACCGACCAGTCCCAGTGTAGAATCAAAAGATCAACTTCTATTCACGTTAATAATTAAAGTTACAAGCTCAAATACCTTATTTTTAATCAATGATTACAGTAAGACTAAACTTACTCTTAATGAGAAGCTTAATAAGCTTAGTTAAATCTTCGATACTAATAGGACCCCGATACTAGTRGGTCATGCTGTAAAAATAGACTTTGTTCGTTTCAGTATCGTCTGTTTGATTTGCCGCTGCTTATGACCCATTAAGTAAACAAAAATCATACTTCGACCTTTATAAAKTTACAGGCGCTCTAGCAATAGAATGTATGGTCTCCTCGTAGACTCCTCGTACGTATGAAACTATCGTTCGAAAGCAAATTATTTTCATATCTGAATAAGTTCCTTTGCTCATAGGTAACTATCTATATATTTGTAAGTACACCATTTTAAAATGCATAAAGATCATTCGAAGATCAATGCCTTCAACTGATTACCCCTTTCAAGAAGTCTTGAAATTATGATTACAAAATTTGGTAAGCTTAAATAGCTCCTTTTGTCCATRCGCTTCAAGGATATTTCAACGAATACGAAAAAAAAGTATTTTTGTGATGTCACACTTGAGTACTCTATTCTGTATTATTAATTATTGATTCAGCAATAAACCATAAGGGCCTCTAGAGGTCCGTTTAGGTTTGTGTTCTATTAAAAGGCTATATTAATATCCAATATTAGAAAATGTGAAAAACATTAAAAAACATGACAAATTGGCCACTTGCCTTATAGATATAAATTTGATTTTATAATCAGAACATATTTATATAATATATACACCTACTTGCGAAAACGTTGTCATAAAAAATAGGACATTTGTATTTTAGTAAAAAGGAATAAATTAAAAAGACAAAAGAAGATCACTGAGGCTGAACGCTTTCTTTTGTCTTGTTTTAATTAATTCCTTTTTACTAAATTCGAATGTTCTATTTTCTATGACAACGTTTCTGCAAGTAGGTGTATGTATAAGTAGAATGAAATTGAACAAAACACCAACTTAAAGCTTTTAATATCTCTGTTTTAATGGACGTTTCGGCACTTCGGCCTTCTTCAGAAATACAAATTAAATCTTCTAGTGTTCCATTGATATCTCACTTGTTAAAATCTATATTGCAAACATTTGCAAAGAAAAGACATTATTTTATATTTTGCACATCTCCTAAAATGCATCCTTTGTTTTATTGTATTTACTTTCATCTACTACAGGGATACTCTTTTGAATGTGAATCTGTAGTTGTTTATATAGCTGGCCAGTTTAAGCTTTACTTTTTAAGTGACTGCACTAAAGAGTGAATATAAATTTCCATTCAGAGTTGTTTCCATGGAAACATCTTAAGTGAGCTACAGTGTAAACTTTGGTTGCCTTAGCAAATGACTGGGAAACCATTTTTCTGCTTGTAAATATATTTGATATTACCTGTACATGTATATTAAATAATGAACAACGTTATATGCCTAATTGCAAAAAACATAGTTCATAAAGAAGAAAAAACATTTTTAGAGGAAAAAGCAAATTAGCATTTTGTTACACAGCACTTTGAAAGCTAAAAACCCTGACCAAGAGATTTTTAAGTGCACCAAATCAGCACTGAATATTRAAAGAATGTGATGCAATAAGCTTTCTTAAAAAATGAGATTTTCATGCACAATAGTTTTTGTGCATACAGTTTTAAAAACTCCAATTTTTAGAGGGAATTTGTACGTAGGCTCATTTTACCACTTTACCGCACGACACCTTCTAAACCCTATGATAACAAGAATACATGAAAAATAGAATACATATGATAAATAGAAAACATATGATAAATAGAATACATGATAAATAGAATACATATGATAAATAGAAAACATATGATAAATAGAATACATGATAAATAGAATACATATGATAAATAGAAAACATGATAAATAGAAACATGATAAATAGAATACATGATAAATAGAATAGATAAAAAATAGAATACATATGATAAATAGAATACATGATAAATAGAATAGATAAAAAATAGAATACATGAAAAATAGAAAACATGTATGATAAATAGAATACATGATAAATAGAATACATGATAAATAGAATACATGATAAATAGAATACATGATAAATAGACAAAAGAAGATCACTCAGTAAGCTGAATGGTTTTGCAATAAAATGTAAAAAAAAAATTCATTCAACGTTTGTTTTAGGCCTCACTTTAACAGTAGGGGCTGATGTTTGTTCATTGAGATACAGTATATCACAAGTGGTCATATTTCTCAAGTGCTCAATGAAAGTATATCTTATATTTATAAAACTTATTAATAATGCATAAGCTATTGCTCCAATAAGGGCTGACCATTTAATCAGGTGATTGACCTTGTAAATCTGATACAACCACTAGTGGTTGTATCAGATTTACAACACGGTCGTCACCATTGAGACAACCCAACACTAGCAAAGGTCTCAGTTTTAGTGTCGCATCATAGACCTTCACTAGGTTTTGAAGCAATCAAAGACGGATAACAGAACTCGCTTATGCAACAGATGGCTTGCTTTCCATGTGGGATGGATAATTATTCAAAATGTTCTGTGTTGCAGTAAATTGCGCATGCTTAATAGGGACTAAACTCAGCAGTTACCTTATTTGTCATTTTTCGTCATTTATCTCACTGTAATTCATGTTAATTTGTGTTGGAGTTTTATAAGTCGTTTACAACATTCGCGTCCGTGTTGTATGGGAATTACAATCTCTCGCCTGCGGCTCGAGATTGTAATTCCCATACAACACGGCCGCTCATGTTGTAAACTATAC